CCTTGTTTCATTAAATCTGGAAGAAAATTGGTATGGCTGAATTTTATTATTATGCCTAAGACTAATTAATTAGAACTGAGATTTCTGGTGTTACCTAGAACTATTTTTATATACACAAAGGAACATGCCTAGAGTGTAATTAGAAATCTCTTTATTATGACATTTTTGAGAAATATGAGGGATATGGAAACATAGAGATAAATCCTTGTCCATTTCTTTTAAGGATTATTAGTGATGTTTACTGAATATAACACATCAATATCCAGATATGTATTCCTTGCTCTTTTGAGTGACTCAGTGCCCCTCTAAAAGCAAGTTGGTACACCCAGCCTCAAATAATCTTAATGATATTATTTATCCCAAGGCTCATCACTGGTGCCTGTCACAGGGTAGATGGACAATATCTATTTGTTGAATTACTGAGTAAATGAAAGAACTGGAATATATTCAGTTAGTGAGTCAGGAAGACTTTTCCACTTTCAGAAATGTTCTATTAAAGTACAAATGTACATCATACAGTGTTCCCAAAAGTAACCCCATACTCTGACTGCTTTAGTGTGACCCAGAGTGTAAATTTAACCTCCTGTACCCCCACCTTATACTACTAATACTGAATACTTTAAGCAACATGAGGGCCAAGAATCTTCTTTTCTAACAGTCTCCCCAGTTGATTGGCATGCACAGAATTGACAGGAAGCTGGAGAATCAGTTTGGGAATCAAGAAAATCTAAGACAGATTTATTCAGAGAATGAGAAAACAGGAAAGACAGGCCAAGTCTCGGGGGAAAATAGTCTGGTCAGGGCACCGTTGCTGGAAATGAAACAATGCTAAACATTTGTTTCCCTATGCTCAAGATTCAAATTTGAGGAAAGGACTCACTGCAGTACTACCCAGGGTCAGGTCGGTACCTTTTGTTTAGGGTGAGGTAAGGACCATGATTAACAGTTTCACTAGACTGTAGCAGATCAAGAAGAGGTTTTTCTATACACATAAATCAAAATGCTGGTAGAAATTAGGAATATTTTCTAGGAAGCCAAAAATAAAAATTACAGACATAGGCTATACACAGTGGAATGGAGTGCCTCATAAAGTAGCATGTGTCCTGTCAACACAGAACTAAACACCAGACTTTCACTCAATTGGAATGCTATAGAAAGAATTCCTGCCTCAAGTGCTATTGGATAACCTTGAAATTTGTCTCCCATTCTGCGAGTGTGTTGCTCTGTATTACTAATTGAATTCCAAAATCTACATGTATTTACTTTTAGTGGGGCACTGAGTCACTCAAAAGAGCAAGGAATACATATCTGGATATTGATGTCTTATATTCAGTAAACATCACTAATAATCTTTAAAAGAAATGGACAAGCATTTATCTCTACATTTCCATATCCCTCATATTCCTCAAAAGTGTCATAATAAAGAGATTTCTAATTACATTCTAGGCATGTTCCTTTCTGCATGTAAAAATAGTTCTAGGTAACACCAGAAATCTCAGTTCTAATTAATTAGTCTTAGGCATAATAATAAAATGCAGCCATACCAACTTTCTGCCAGGTGTAGTGAAACAAGATCTACAGTATCTACATGTCTGCTAGATTCCTGTTAATATCCAATTTAGTGTTTACAAATCAATCAAACTTTATTTGAAATCCTTTAGAAAAACTAAATAATTGATTACAATGGTAACTTTTTTGCTGTGTCTAATGATAGAATACTAGGTAATGTTTATTGTAGAAAAGAATAATCAATCATCATCTGCTCAGTTGTAGGCCCTTTTAGCCAACCTAACTCCTTCCACCCATCATATGCCCACTGTTCCATAAAGAAAAACCTTAGTTATCTTATCCCCATCGTTGTCAAATTAGGACACTGTCAAAGAACCACCTGTTCACTCCCAAAAGGCATTTTCTCTTTTCATATCTTATTTCTTAGCTAAAAGTTGTTTGGCCTAATTTTGGCCCAGAAAATGTAATGTTCTTTGTTTCCTCTGACAAATGTCTTCTTTCCTCTGGCAGATTTTTCAATCCTTTGGGCTCACTGCATTTCCATGGTCCTGGGTAAGAATTGCATTCTCTTCACCATCCTGGAACCTAATTAATAACCCCTTCTCCAACATGGTTCCTGTTGGCCAGATCATTCTCCAACCCTCATTTAAGCAGAAAAGTTTAATTAAATGTGTGACATATTTAAATAAATATGTGACATGATTGAATATGGAGAGGCCCACTATTTAGCCAGGAAGTAAACTTTGACAAAACATCCAAATAGTTAAATAACTTCATAGCCACATCATTTTTCAGGAATTTAAATTTGTATGTGGCTTTTCTGATTCATGTCATTACTCTTTCAATGATAGAATGGACATGGTACACTGCTCTGTGAGGAATACCTCATTACCTTTCACAGTTCTCTGAAGTTCATAGTGTTGCCTAAAAATATCTTTTCACTAGAAGAGCCCAGAACGGCACTCAAAAGAAAGCTGTTTGCCATTACACTAATCTTAGTCAGTAGATGCCAATGGATTATTAAACAGCATGCTGCTCACAAATCAACACACATTATACTTGTACTTACCTGCATTTTAGTCTTTCATCTGTGTACTGAGTGACATTTAATGTTAAACTAATGTAAGAATCGCCTTTTATCTCTATGGTTTGTTTTGGATTATTTTCTTTAGCATATTTACCAGTGACCAACCTCTTCAAAAATTCATACATACGGATGATCTATGTAACATATCCAGGAAAATAACTTTACTTCTCTCAAGGAAAACATGACTCAGACTATGATGAAAAGCAATTTTTTGACAACATAATCATGCTGTCATTGAAGCTTTTATTGGTGCCACAAAGAAGTCAATTCTAAAATAAGCCTGTAATAGAAGCTCAGTGGCTATTCACCTGAACTCTGTTCACACAGAAGGTGATATCGGTTCAAGCATTATTAAAGCACATGAAAAGATAAAAAGTATATCCCATAAAATTAACTCCAAAAAACTAACTAGTTATGGGTAGTATATTAACCTGATAATTTTGAGAATTCCAGTTGTTGTCTAATGCTAAGGTATATGAACTCAACAGACAATTCTTACCTGGCAAGAATATAGCTCCTAATTAACATTTGAGGGATAATGGGAAAATCTACACCAGATACAGATAAGCAGGATGGAGGCACTGGCTAACAGCATTGAACCTAGCATTAGGAGATCTGATTTGATCTTACACAAGCCAGTGGCTATGATACTACATATGTCTTTGAGCCTACGTTTCTTGATCTTTAAAATGAAAACAAAAACACTTCTCTCACAAGGTGGTAAAGACAGTAATGGGAAATAATAGATATAGAAATGCTTTGTAAATTCTAAAGTGGCCTAGAAATATAAGATACTATCTCTTCTGTTTCTTGTTAGTGCCATACCTAAGGTATCAAGGCAAAGTAATAGTCCTGGAAAGCACAAGTTTAAGGTAAAACATTTGTCAAAGAAATCCCATTGGAAGAAACAATATAAACAAGTTTAATACATAGTCTTTTCTATGCTTCTGGATACAACGGTAAGTAAATTACCAAAGATATTAAATAAATGCTTCTATTAAAAAGGCTGTGCTAAAATGCACATAAAGCCTAAGAGATCGATTCCATAGGAATTCATACAGTCAACCCTAGCAATGTCTGATCTGGTTTCCAAGCAAACTGTCTCAAAAATGAATCAATTGGAGTTACCATCGCAGCACTGATATAAGTGAATGTAGTGGCATGCTGGTCCTGGAGTATCTACATGTCTGCCAGATTCCTGTTAATATCCAGTTAAACAAATAACAGGCTGTAAAAATGGAAAAAAGCCATTGCTTATGTCAGTGATAGAAAAAATATCTCAGAAATAAGGAAAGAATTAGTGATAGAGTGGAGCACACAGAGTAGCTACCACTTTGCAAGCTATGTGGACTTAGGCTTCCTAGAAGTCCCAGACCTGTCATTTTCCTAGCTACTATCACTCCTTACACCAAAGCTGTCAGGTTTGAATAATAGAACAGCTTCTGTTACTTTCTCGGGACACCCAGTTCACTGAGAGGGAGGCAATTTAACTATCCCTCCATAGTCCTGGTTCTGTCTTCCCTGACAGATGCAACGTCTTCCAAGAATGATCTTCCACAGCAATGATGAAAAATGAGAGTTGAAGAAAAAAACTGTTACAAATTCAAACTAAGGGATCAGTAAAATAGTTTAATAAAGTAAGTGATATAATTTTAGAGTTAAAAACAATATCCTCCAAACCAGAATTTTCTTCTCAGTCTTCTTTAGTTGGTTAAGACTCTACTGTTCTTGGCACTTACTTAAGCTCAAGTATATTTGATCACCCATATTATAATCTTCAAATTCTACAAAATAACTGTCACTTGGATAGATTGTGGTATATTTATATACTAGAAAGTCATCAAACAATGAAAATAATTGAACTACAGATACATTCTACAGCATAAACATTGTTAGGTAAAAGAAGTTAGACACAATTATCTTTTATGTAATGACAGATACATAGAATTAAAAAATAGTCACCCCTGGTGTTAGAGGTCAGTGGAATTTCCTTGAGGAAGAAAGACAGATATATTCTTTGAAGGGGGCTGAATGGACTTTCTGATACGTTGGAAATGTTTTATTTTGTGATCTGGGTAGTGGTTTCAAAGGCACATTAACTTTGTAATAACCTATTGAAATGTGCATTTATGTTTTGTGCACCTTTCTACATATTTAAAAATATATATAAGTTTTCAGTTTGGACTTTAACATTGACCATGATTATTTCCCAATGTGTTACTCCAACCTTACCCTCAGGTTGCCTCACTAAATATTTTATTCCAACTATGTTACTTTATTCACGCATCTCAAACAAGGTTATATTATTTTTTAACCCTGTAATTTTGCTTATGCTCTTTCTCACTAAAAGTCATCTTCTATGTCTCTTCATATCAAAATCCTGTTTTTCAAAACTCAACTATACCTCTTTTATGCAGCCTTCTTCATTTCAGGAAGTGTTCTTTATTCATCCTCTGAGTTTCAAAGATCATTTGAACTTCTCTCATCCACTTGATTTTAATTACCCTTGAATTAAAAATAAGTTTATTTGTTTTATTATCTAACAGGTGTACAAATTATTGGAGAGCCGGGAACTGTATATTACACATCTTGAAATTATTTTCCTTACTTCACATGTTAGCAGTACATGGTGCTAAGTGGCTAATTGGATGAGTGTGTGAATAAATGAACAAGCAAATAAGCCATTGAGTCAATTCTTTATAAAACATCTATAATCACTATACACTTCCGAGGGGCCCTTGGATCAAGCTTCATCCCAGCCCAAAAGTAAGGGTTGGTAAGTCCTCCAGTGCCCTCTTGGTTCTGGCCAAAAAATTAGTAGATGAATGGTGGAAAGTTATATAATATCTTGTATCTTACTACACACCCAAAGTGAGAGAGAAACCGACTGAAAGCCTACAATTAGTAAATATACTATCTGTTCAAGACAAAATTGTGAAATAAGAAGTTGTTTCTTCTCTACCTTTCCTCCAAGGATCATGCCTTTGTCCACTCCCACCTCCACATTGTCTCTCTCCTCTTCCTCTTTTATTTTCAGAGGTCAATAGTGACATCTGTGATTGCTGTATTAGAGTTATCTAAAGAAACGAAGCCAATAGGATATGTGTATGCAAATTTCCATGTCAAGAGCAAAGCAAGAAGGTTATTGAAGGATCTACTCCGCAAGGTTGCCAAAGGCCTATGTTCTTGGCACAAGACTGAGTCAAAGCTTCACCAGATGTCATTATACTCACACTACTGGCTTAAGGGATGGCAGGCAGCCTGACACCTTTTTCCCGAAATGTCCCTCCAGCATCCTCTGCTGAGAAAGGTTAACATAGGCCTCACTTTAAAGGAGAAATACTAAAAGGAATTGTCTGTTATCACAGAATATATACTGAAGGGTGAATTTGGAGCCAAGAGGCAATAACTTGATAACTGGCATCAGGCTGTAAGTATCATTTATGAGAGCCAATAAATTCCCTTTTGGTTTTAGATATTTTCAGCTAAATTTTCTGAGTATTGTACTGAAAGACCGTTAAGTGACAAAAGGCCCAGTCCGCATACCATCTAGAGCAAAGCAGTTTTTCATTGAATATTGCATGCCTTTCTGCCATTGTTTTCCCTCAAAACCTTTCTACCCTGGTCCCATTTTTTTTTAGTTAAAATTTTACTTATTGTCTTTGATATATATGTTAACAGCCTGTTAACAACATGTGTTCATTTTAAGAATAGAATTCTAGGAAATAAAGGCTTTAAAACAGAAGAATGATAGAGTTAGGTATCTTACAAAGTTGATAGAATATCTTAGGACACTCTGCACTTTGGTTTCCCTCAAATAATTAAGCTATAATAGATAATAATAAAATAGAGTTTGAATTTTTAATTCAATTAGGATTGCTCTCAAATTTGCCTGATAATACTAGAATTTCATCTTGACAACAAAACCCAAAAAGAAAGCATCTATTCTCAGTATCAATTAAAAATACCTAAGTAAGCAACTTTAATAGGTTTTACACGGGCTATTTAAGTTAAAAGTGAGATGTCTAATGCAAAAGACAATTGCTTTTTGTGTTATTTTTGAAAATAGAAGTGTCAGAAAGTAGAGGAGTTAAGAATATAAAAACTGTACACAATGGTAAAAAATGTGTTAGTGGCTAAAATAATTACTCTATCAAGTAGACTCCCAAAGAATATATAAAAGTTCCCAATTAGACAATATTGGTTCTTTGAAAAGTTTCATTTTAAGATTTAGACTAACATATATCTTTTTTTTTCTTGGTTTCAGCAATTTCTTCTAACTGCCTCAGTAGTCTTGTCTTCCTCAGGTTTTATAACCACAAAGTTTATTATTAAAAAGTTTTAGTTCACATCAAATACTTTCTGTGCTATTTGGGAAAAGTATCTAGGGGGAAATTCAAGTAAGAAGAGTAAACCCAATTTAACAGAAAACATGAAAAATTGTTGATGAAGGGCTTTCTGTGTGTGTGTGCTCAGCCCAAAGGAAGCATTGGACTGGCTCTGGGAGTGGGAGGCAGTGTGAAAAGATGCAGTATCTCCTCCTTTGCCTGTTTGTGTTGGATAAATGGATCATTTAATTGTCAGGTTGGCTGAGACTGAACGTCAACATTATACCAGAAAGTCCCAAAGGTATGCAGCAGAGGAGATGCTATACCAGTTTCCTTCACTTGATGCTATTAAATGAGCTCAGAGTCTATAAGATAAAAGCTGGATACATTGAAGGCCAGTAAGTACTTAGTTTTATAGCAGTGCTTTATGCTCAAACTCCTCATGACTTTATACATGTTTCTATGAAAAGACTGCATCTAAAACAATGCTCTTAATAAATGAAATTTATAAGAAAAAATCCCTGTGAATTGCTATACTGATTAGTGTTTTTTTCTGTCAATAACAGTAGTACAACAGTCAGTTACAATGCCTGAACATTCTAAGCCCTAACAATAGATATTATATTTTATTTAAAATTTCATAAATACATTCTATGCTCATTTAGAAAATTTTTCCTTTGTTACACATAAAGAAAATTCAACCATTCTTTCCACAAAAACTTATTTGTTACTGTCTATATGCCAGAAAACCATAATTTCTGCCTTTACAAATCTGTCTAGCATATGAAAAGGTATTTTGCTATAAAAATCTGTGATTATCATGTGTTAAATGGGCACCACACTTCAAGCAGAAATAATATTTTTATATAATGATACAATTTCCAGAGTGTACACACACATACATATACTCATGGAAAAAGGGAGTGAGATAATGGTAATATTCAATATATTTACCAACTTCTATAGCACACGTTCCAACAAACCTAAATGCAAATGGAATAGACTGATTTGGGGGAAAAACTGTAGGGTACAGAATCTCAGCCATTATGTCCACTTGCAAGCATGGTTTAGCAAGCTCCCACTGATCCAAAGACAGGACCTTAAACTGGGACCTTTTCTCCATCTTCCTACTGTAATATGAGAACTTAAAAGAGGTTATTATATTGGAAATTCAAAATTGATCATTAATACATATTTATTATATTCATACTATGTGTCAAAACTTTGCCTGGTATTCAGTCAAAACAAGCCAAGTTTCAGGTTACTATGGAATAAATATAAAACAAACAATAAGCAGGGAGTACAATGAGAGAATATTGATTGTGGTAGAAGCAAGGCTGAGGAAGAAGTTGTAGAAAGAGATTGGGGAAAAGGGCATCATTATTAGAGCAAGAACTTCCAATCGGTAGAAGGTTTGAGGTCAAAGGCAAAGGGAAAGGGAAAACAAGGAAGAATGACTACGTTGAATGAGGAAAGAAAATAAAGATGGATAAGAACTGTAAATCAATTTAAAGTTGTGGGAGAAGTAGAATAAGTCCTAGACTTATAACAGGAATTTGGAAAGAAAGAAAGAGGATCATCCAGAATGAAAAGAATAGATGAACTTTAGGAAGAAGTTATAAAGGAAAATTTTTCATGACTGCAACAACTATTTCCTCTGTGAAGTAAGGAAGGTGATCTTCTAAAAATAAAGAGTGAAGCATTAAGTACAAAGTTGAAAAAGTGGTAAAAAAATAAAAAGAAAAAGAAAATGTCATGGGAAATAAGTAAACATCTGTAAAGATTTCCTAGAAAAAAAATTGAGAGTTCAGCAGAGGTCGTAAATCATAAATGTATAAGGCAGACAATCAACATGGTTATGTGATTTGCTCCAGGATTATTCAGTTCCTGGTTTCGGTATCAGAACAAACAGATGGTTGGGTTATTCTAGAACTGAGGATTAGGAATAATGGAATAAGAAGAAGGTCTTGAGAGTGTTGGGAATTAAGAGTGTCAGTGAGAGAGAGGTTTAACTGAATGACTGTGGGTTGTCAGCTGGAGTGAATAAGGAAATGAAGCCAAAGAAGGCTTATTGATCAAGAACATATAAAACTGACAAAGTACAGAAGACTCAATGAGAATGAAGAGCAGTTACTCCCCTGAATAAAATCTCTCAAGGTATTCTGCAGCCTAGTTGATAAAATACAGTTTACTTCTTAAAACATACAAGACTTTTAATAATCTTATCTGCCTCTCAAGCTCATTTCTAATGCCTTCTCACAAATGCCTCCAGGCATTCTGTATGTCCTAGCAGGCAGACCAAATATGATGCTTTCTGTCTTCACGTTACTGCTGTTCTTTCAAAGAGCTCCTCTTATCCTAAACTTCATTCCTCTATTAACTAATAAACTTCTCAGTCTTCAAAATCCACTTCAAGCATCTCTTTCTTATTGAAGTTACCTGTAGTAATTAGTCTCAAAAAAGTGGCTGAAAAAATTTCCTTCCACCCTTATATAATCTTGCCATTACTTTCACCAAAAAAACTCTTGATTCTGGGCAGACCAACATAATGCTGCAGAACTGACACTATTCCAGTTCCAACCTAATCCAACTGCCATGCTGCAAAGAAGTTCAGGTTATCTGGCATGCAGCATGAGACACCATGGAGAGAGAAAATCATAGACAGGAAAAACGGCATGTAGCACCTGTACCTCAGATATATGAGTGAGGTCTTCTTGGCCATTCCTGCTCATCCCAGCCACCAGTTGAATGGAGGAGGAGTCCAATCAACCCATAGAATTCTGAAAAATAAGAATCATTTTTCTTTTAAGCCACTATGTTTTGGGGTTTAGTTATTCATTTATAAATAAATGGTATCTCTCTCATTTTCAACCTATGTGCGACTGTTCAAACTTTCCACTGTATCACACTACTGTACCTATAATATATCTGTATTATTTTACTTATCACAGTAGTATTGCAAAATTGTTTTTAAATATCTGCTTCCTTCCTATTCTGTGAGATGAAACAATGTTTCAGTGCTAGGGTATGTTTACAGTATGTGTGTGTGTATATGGATGTGTTGTGAGTGTCTGTGTTCTAAGCCCTAGCACATAACATATGATATGTACTTTGTAACTGACTTGAACTACACTAAATATGGATTGAGTTAGCAAAAGGGGAAAAAAAGGAGCTATAAGGTCTGGTCATTAGAATTTCATGGTTATGTATTTCATAAAAGGAGCAGTTCCCTGATTGGAAGTGAAGTTGGCTTAAGGATAGTCTAGGAATTCAGGTGGGGAGGTAGAATCATCAAGGATGTGGACTTACGGCCTAGTACAATTACAGAATTTGTGTGGAATTGAATATGGTGATCCAGTAGGAAGAGACTGTGAACTTCAGAAAAAGAGGGTGTGAGTGACAGCTTTCCAGTGAAGAAAAAGGCTCTCAAAGTAATAGTAAACCATAAACAATATGCTGGTTTAACCTTCTGCCCAATGTATGCTCAAGGGAGAAGAAGTAAGTCTCCATTTAACAGACTTATGTGGAATTTGTACCTTCATTAAAGGAAGTTTTCCTCTAACTCATCTGAGTACACCTTTTCAGTCTCCTTCGTTGACCCCTTTTGTTCCACTGTCACTGAAAGCTTTCTATACAGTCCTCTGCCATTTTCACTCAACATTTGTTCTCTGGGCCATATGAGTCACCTCCCATGGCTTCAATCATTACTTATTCACTGGTATCTCCTACAGCTGAACTCTCTGGCTCCATTCCTTTTATTAGCCCTCAGCACAATTATTTATAATTCTTTTCTGAATATCTCCAGTGTTTGGTCTACCATTTATGTCAAATTCAAGATGTTAAGGGACAAACTGATTATTTGCTATTCAAAACATGTGTTTTCATCCTGTATTTCATAATCCTGTAAATGGCATCCCTGGCCACTCCATGAGTATAGAAAGAAAGAGTCAGCACAGTGGTTAAAAGTTTGAATTCTGGAATTAATCCAACAGAATATGCTCACATCTGGCCTTCATAAATTACTAACTGTATAGTAATTCTAGTCTGATCAGGCTGCTGTAACAAAGTACCAGAATCTGGGTCACTTAAAACAGACATTGATGTCTCTCAGTTCTGGAGGCTAAGAAGTCCAAGATCAGAGTTCCACCATGCTCAGTTTCTGGTGAGGGCCTTCTCTGTGGCTTGCAGACATCTGCCTTTTTGCAGAGCTACTTCTCTGGTTTCTACTTATAAGGGTACTAATGTCATCATGAGTATCTTTATGACCTTATCTAAACCTATTTACCTCCCAAAGGTTCCACCTCAAAATGTCATTACATTAAGAGTTAGGGTTTCAACATGTGAATTTTGGGGGCACGAAATTCAGTCCACAGCAACAACCTTGGCAAATTACTTTTCAGAGACTCATTTTTCTCACCCATCTTCAAAAGCTTGTGAAGAGTAATAAATGCCTATCCAAACCCTCAAAACTAATCATATCAACTAGATCTCTTGAAGCCATTCTTAACTTCTCCCTTTCCCTTAGTACCCACCTCTTCCAAGCAACTGACTGCCAAATTCTTTCTAACATTCAAAAATTCTCCATTTCTAAAGTGTATTTTAATATATGCATTTGTCCATCATCACTTCCACTGTGCTAGTGCAGACCTGAACATATTGCAACCAGCCTATTCCTGACCTCGTCTAACCCATCTTTCACACCATTGCCAGACATAATGTTTTAAAAAATATAAATCTGATCATATCCTTTTTCTTGATTTTCAATTTTTTTTCAGTAGCTCCCTATTTCCTACAAAAGTCACACCAAACTCTTTAACATCTGATATTTGTGGTCTTTCTCTGAACTACCTTTCCAGGGCCATTCTACATAATTTCCCACCATTCCCTGTATTTCCCAGTCATTCTCTGAACATATTTCTGCCTTCATGTCTATTTCCTTTCCTAAATCCTTAGGAATTTTCCCCTGAGAATTCCTGCTCAAACTCCAAGACCCAGCTCAAATGTGATTTCCTTTCTCTTGTCTTCCCCAAAGACCCAAGTGACATAGATTGCTCCCTCATCTGTTTTCCCACAGGGATGTACACAAATATGTCCAGCTTTATCACACTATAGTATAGCTATGAATTTACTTGTCTATCTTCCCAGCTAGACCCTGAGCTCCTTCTCAGAAGCAAGGATAGGAAAATATTTATTCTTGAATTAAAAGTGCATAACATCGTTCCTGGAAAACACCAGTCAGCATATGTAAGATGCTGGATAAATGTTGGTTGAAAGAATGAATAAACTGTGTAACTTCAATGGTGCCCGCTATATATGAATATATTAATTAAGTTCAGGTTTTTCAGGTACATATAAAAAGTCAATGATGAAAACTGGGCATTGAAAGAAATAGATTATCTATAAGTATTTTCCCCAACTTTAAAATTCTATAATCTTATTGTGAACTGAGCTAAAGCTCTTCTCCAGGCATATAGGATTAAAGTCTTGTCTGAGATAGACTTAAATTTGTAGATAGAATCTAGTGCATTGTTTAAGGCATATTTACAATTTATTCTATTATATTAACTTTAATAAACTGTATTTTGTGAATTTTATAATTTTCAATTAAATAAAATTGAATTATATGCCATTTTTAAATGGTAACATGGTGAAAAAAGTGGTTTTTTTACTGAAACCTTGTCAGCTTGAGTGACATGTGAGTACCCAGCACTAAGCATCTGTTAGGAAAATCTTATTACTCTGTGTCTATCACTAGAAAATTGGAACGAACGTTGCAAGACCTACACACTTAAAATGTTATGATGTGTTTTTAAAACTGCTTTCCACAGAAAGCCTTTTATTTTATTAGAAAATTATAAGCAAACAAGGCTTGTTTAATGGCTTTCAAAATACAAGCACATTTCATGTCAAAATTGTATCATTTTCAATTGCTGACTTGTGTGAGAAAGCTGTCAGGCCCTGGTGCCCAAGAAAATAGGGCGCCATGGCAGAAATTTCTTACTGAAGGATATATAATGTATGCTCAATTAAACCAACACAATATGTGTTATGGTCTAATTCTATCTTAGAATGTACTGCTAGCTTTCTGTTCTGGAATCGGAATTTTCCTAATGCCTGGACATTTTGTTGAATCCCATGTAAGAAGTGATGCAATCTTTGAGTTTATATCTCAGGGAAGGTTGGGCTCTTTTTTCTTTCTCCTTTTAACATTCAAAAATTCTCAGATATATTACTTTCTTAGTCTGATAATCTATGTATACTGTGCTCCCTTTCCAAACCTCTCTTAGCTTATTAAATATCTTAACAACTAAAGAAAATATGCATGAAATGCTAAAATTATAGCCAGTTTTTCAGAGGAAGCGATTGTTGGTTATAGTGTTATTTTTCTTCAGAAACATTCCCAAGTTGTTTATCTCTTCAAATATCAAAAATATCTATATGTGCTTCAAATGAATGCGGTGATAATAAAATATAATGGAAAAAATCCTGGAAAATTCCAACGTTCCTTATATTGTTTGTTAATCGACAAGTTTATAACAACTTTGCTGCTCTAAGCCAGCAGAGATCACCCACAGAGGTGGTAGATGCTAACTTTTCCACAATATATGGCAATAAATAGATAACATTTAAGATATATATTTTCCTATATATTCTAAGAAAAGATGACTGCTAAACATGAATTCCCAATGATAGAAGGATATTGTATGTTACTAAACTGCCATCTACTGGATTTGTTCACCCAGTACACAAAATCATCTATAAACGTATTTTTCAAGGAATACATGACTTTTTTCCCAGCCACTTCCTGACTTCCTTTCTTTTCCTACTTCTAGCAATGAGTCCTACTAATAACCAGGGGAAAAAAAATAACGTTTCAACTAATTATAGTCCAACCAAAGTTATTCACATCATTTAAGACTTAGATTGATTAATCATAGTGTCATGAAGACGTGTCAATTTGAGACACGAAGAGGTTTAGAGAGGTTTACACTTTTCAGAGTGCCACCTGTCTCCAAAGGGCACATTCATTAAGAAGCTCCAGGTGCAAGTTGTGGAAGCAACACAGCATAATGAAGTCCTTTGCCTCCTTGTGCACCTTTTGATTAATAACATCCTCCTTCAGTTCTAGCAGATTGTACACCAGTATATGCCACAAGAAACCTAAAATACAAGCCTACTTTTCTATCTTTCTTTGAATAGAGTAAATCACCATGTATGTATGACCAGAATCAAAAGAATTAACAAAATAAGGTATCTGTGGCACAATCTACTTTTATAAGGAAAGAACAGCTAATAAGATGACTGATATTTACTTGATAACAATGTTTAATATGTGTCACTGATCAAATTCCACCTAATCTATCTTCTCTGTTCTACATTCACACATGGAAATGCAATTGATATTTGTCCAGGCATGGTGGCTTACACCTGTAATCCCAGTACTTTGGGAGGCCAAGGCAAATGGATCATCTGAGGTCAGGAGTTCAAAACCAGCCTGGCTAACATGGTAAAACCCTGTTTCTACTAAAATTACAAAAGATTAGCCAGGCATGGTGGTGTGCACCTGTAATCCCTACTACTCAGGAGGCTGGGGCAGAAGAAATCCTTGAACCTGGGAGGCAGAGATTGCTGTGAGTCAAGATCATGCCATTGCACTCCAGCTTGGGCAAAAAGAGCAAAATTCCATATCAAAAAAAAAAAAAAAAGATGGGGAAAACTGGCATTTATTAAATGCTGTTTACAAGACATTTTCTTTATTTTTCTTTTCTTTTCTCTTTTT